TCTAAACATTGCTGAAGGGGGTGAACGAGCGATTTCCGCTAACAGAGGCGCGATTGGCAGTCTGAGCCAACCAATCAATTGCCGCCGAATTGGGCGCAGTTACTCCACACATACAGTCTCCTGCAGCCAGTCGCTATTTTTGGCGGGAATCTCTCCTCCAGCCCCTTTAACAATCTCCAAAGCCGGAAAACACCATAAAAAGCACTTTCTTGAAAACTCCGAGAGATTATGCACTACGGGAATTGACGCATCTGAAAGGCCAGTAAGGGATGGAGAACTCGCAGTCGCAATTTCGAGCCACTGCATTTAACGAACAGTCGCTTAGTACACGCACAACAGTTCCATCAAACGGTCAATAAACCTTGACTTATTGGGAACTACTTGATGGTTCTAATTGCTTTTACTATAAATAAAAAAGCTCTAACCATAAGTTTACTAAAAAGGAATTATTAGGCTTATTTTTACAGACTAATCCCGATGTATTTGTTTGAAAGAGAGTCAGCGTGGCCGCAAAAATATTTTGAATGCAATGAATTCATTCATCTAACGCTCATTTTCAGCCTTGAAATTAACCTATGTACTATGTTGCTTAGTACAATAAGTAGTGTTGAATGAACAGTGAAATAGAGAGGATATACATAATGTAGCAAGTGTTTGATCGCAAAGAACTTAATTCACTCGGGTCTCTAAGATGTTCTCGTACTGACGCTATATTCAGATTGGACAGCTCCGCAGAACTGATCAAGCAGCATCATTCTAGAAAATTTTTGAAAACTCCTTTTTCAGAGAGCATTACCCTTGATAGTGAAAACAATAAAACTATCATAATAAGCCCAGCATAATTTTTTGAGAAGATTGAACAAATGCAAACTCCTATGGGATTAGCAGCTTGAGTTTAGAGTAGCTTCCAAATCTCCCGGTTTTCCATGGCATTCTTCTGGTTTTCAACTGCTCCCTCTAATTCTTACATGATCTCAATCTTATAGTAAAGTAAAGCAAACATGGACTATTTGGTAATGTAAGTTTGTAAATGATCATGGTTTGGTAGGGCGGTTAGAAGCACACACTTTGCACTTGTTTGAGTAATTTCCATCAACAGTGTGGTCATTTTGCTTACTTCAGTGTCTACTTGAGAGCAGCTATATTATTCGACAAATTGTTTTGGATATCACAACCTCTTTTGTTCATCGCCCTTTTTGATAGACAAAAGAGATTGAAAAAACATTTATGCATATGACAAAACTCTTGAAAAGACTCATAATCCAAACCTGCGTCTTTATACTCTTAAAAAAATCGCAGAAGACGATTTATGCAAGTTGTTGCAGTAAGTGGCGTCCTCGCATAAGATGAGCGCTATTTTTTTAACAGTTGGAAGCTTGATATACACAAGCAGCTAATCTAACTCAACAAGACTCATAATTCACCAATACTGGTTTCTTTACGAAAGGCCGGGCTTGGATATCAATTTTATGTGTTATAGAAACTGTTTTGTAATTTGCCTTTGCGAATCAATCTCGACATCTTAAAAAAGTGTTCAAATGAGACAGAGGTCCACAATCTAATTGCGCGTACATGTCTGATGCAGCTTTGACAATCAACAAGTGCCCACTGATTTGATTAGCAGATTTCTTTTTGAAATCAGTCTTGCATCTCTCGTAAGCTTCAGAGAGTAGACTCAGTCACAACCTTTGAGTAAAAGGTAATTGACTGTAAGGGCATCGTTCAACCAGCTTGGCGTGCTTCTGTTATATAGCAATGCCATCTGTCGGATACGGTAGGAGCATGTAGAGACAGTTCTCACCAATTTTTTGAGGGTTTCTGTGAATATACCTACAGTTTCACAGTATCCCTACAATGTCTCACTAGCAGCAATCAATGATAATGGCCCGTAGTAAAGCTCGATCAGTTGAGGTGAACTCAACTTATCCCATCAGTTCACCTTAGGTGAGGTGAACTGATCATCGTCCACGTTTCCATGCTATAAGATGGTCAAGTCAACTGATAGTTGACCATCTGTCCACCTGCCGCAGTCAACTCTTCCACATCAGTTCACGTTCAAGTCACCTCAACGTGAACGGATGTTAGAGTGATCCAAATAGTGTGTAGAAGAGGAGACGCAGACAAGAGGTGACTGCATCTAACATAAGTTGCTCCTGAGTAACTTACGATACACACAGCTTTGCCAAAAAATGCAGAAAAAATCGGCGCGAAACTGCACAACCGCGCCCGAAAAGGAGAGGATCGATGAACAGCTGATTTTGGCGAGGAAAAGAAAAAAACCTCTTTTTCTTTTTTGCAGATTTTACTGACTTTTTTCTTTGACAAACTGCTCAAGGCAAGAATTTGTAGATTTATTTCGTTGGATTTATGTTGCAGTTATTTCAATTTTCCATGAAATTTTCGTCAAAAAATGCGTTTTTGTGTCATCCATGTTTTTTCTAGGCGAAATCCTTGATAGGGGTCATCATCGATTTTCCGATAGTGGTCGCTATCAAAGACGCCCTGCCATACAGCAAAAACGTGGCTCTAGCCGGTGTCGAACCATGGCCGCGCGCGTTCAATTTCAGTCCCTTACCTGCTCGACCAAACCAGCTTGAGTGGTTCCCTTTTCAAGAAGGCACTTGATTGTGATGCCTCGGAAGCGATCCGCATCCAGATCAATGGCTCGCCGGATGCTAGACTGAGGCGCGATGAGCTCGCCCCCGGTCCGCGTCAAGTGAGATGCACTGATGGGGGGTTTACTACGGGCCAATGTTTTATCAGCATGCGCAGATTTTCGAAGTTTTATTGAAAACTAGCTGGCTTACCCGGCCCTGTCAAAACACTGTGATGAAGGTCTCATCCTCCCTGTTATAAGCCAATTCCATATTCCCGCTGTGTTAGTAATCAGCATGCTCACTTACCCCCCCCCCCCCCTCTGCGCCAACTCCCAGCCCCGTAGCTCAAACTTTGCAAAAAATCGAATAAATAAAAGTAACTGATCATTTCAAAAACTATCAGAGCTCGATTACCCACTTGTGCCAACTCCCAGCTTCGTAGCTCAAACTTTGCAAAAAAAGTCGATAAAAACCACTAAAATCGATAACGAAAAGTAGCCTACGACACCCTCCACCCGGAAGTGTATCTGTGCAAAGTTTAGTCCGGATCGATTTAAAAATAAAATTTTCTATTCGGAACATACGTACACAGACAGACAGACGACAAACAGACATTCAGCTTCAAATGTAAGATTGAATGCCTACTGTATATCAACCACGACAGGCTGTGGCACTTCTGAATATCAGAAGATTTGCCTTGACACATTGAGTTCTGATTTATTTGAATTTAAAATTCGTCGACTTTTGAGAGGCGATGCGATGCTTTGTCCCAGATTCGGAGTGCAAGGAACCTCTCTCACGAATATGAGCGGTAATAGAGCACAGCCAGTAATTCCTTACTACTTCATAAATCTTAAGACGTAACTGAGAACTAGTCTTGCAGCAGAAGCCCGCATGGTATGATAATTCAACGTCAGCAAATGTACAGGCTGAAGAAAAGTAAGTTTATCTTTTTTCTCTATTGTTGTAAAAGATGTTGTTAACGTGGTCGATGATCGATGGGAGTACATTCTAAAAATTTTGCTTTACAAGAGTACGGAATGGTATTGCAATAAATTACGGGATTTCGATTTCATCCAGTGAGCCGGTACGTTGAGGATATTTGATCAAGCGTTGACCCGCCTCAAGTTCCTTTCCTTATTCTGGCAGTCTACACAGCAAAGGAAATATTTCTGATTTCAATATTTTTCTAGACTCAAATAAAAGGATTTGCGAGTGCCGGACCAAAAATACTTGAACCCCAGAGCTGCATTCATTTAAAGTAATTTAGTCGCAAGTTTGAAGTTTGGCAAACGCACACGAAAATTTAGAGTGTGATATTTCAGAAAAAATCCATATACTTTCAACAGTTTGCGTCCTCCGGTATTGTGTAAGTGAAAAAACAGCCTAGAATTCAAAGCAAACTTTTTACAAATATTCAAGCTGATGCCGATGTAAATGTGAAGCTTTGAAAATTAACTCGACTATTCGAGACTTTCTGGGAGAGAATCTTCCCTGTGGTTCTGCATAACTTCTGATGTTCAGTGCGAAGACTTTATTCACGCACTAATTCTAGCTAATTTTACGCCAAGATTTCTACTAAATATATTAGGTTGGTCCGAAAGTTCTGTCCCACCATTTTCAAAAAATCTTAACTTCTTCCTAACACAATGTTTTTGCAAGAGTAAAACCGTATTGAAAACAGCAATTCATGCACTTTCTAAAACTACCTTGGCTGCTATTCATTAAGCTCTGAATGCAGAGATAAAATTGGGGAAAGGAATTCATTTCAATTTCGGAATTTTTAAGCAAGCCCGTTAAAGAATCCAAAAGTGTGCCATAAAATCCAAAACAGCCACTATCCTAGGCTTTTTCATACCCTCTTTCCAGCTGAGCAAAATTTGCGCTAATTGAGCTCTTTTGGAAGAAGTTATGATTTTCAAGAAAAAATGCGAAAAAATCAGTTTCTTAAGAAAATTGATTTTTTGACATTTTTTTCATTTTTTCTAAATCATAACTTTCCGAAGAACAGCTCGATCAACGCGAGCTTTGCTCAGCCAGAAAGAGGAGGTGAAATAGTTTAGGATAGTGGCTGTTTTGGATTTTACGGCACTGTTCAGGATTTTTCAACGGGCTTGCTTAAAAATTCCGAACTTGAAATGAATTCCTTTTTCCAATTTTATCTCTGCATTCAGAACTTAATGAATAGCGTCCAACACAGTTTCAGAAAGTACATGAATTGCTCTTTTCAACATAGTTTAAGCCATGCAAAAACATCGTGTTGGGAAGAAGTTATGATTTTTTGAAAATGGAGGGACAGAACTTTCGGACCAACCTAATACTAATTTGACACCGAGAATTCTACAGTGCCGCATTAAGATACTGAATGGGTACAACGGAAATTTCATTGATATGACTAACATATCATAGCCACTCTACACCAGCAATGTAGAATTGCTGCTCGAAATGTTTACTATTGCGGAGTTGGCCTTGTATGCCAATTTCAGCAGGAGTTTCACCAGACTTGACGTAAATCACACCATTAAACTTGCCATCCCGATACCAGTTGCATTCTTTGAGAGGGGTAATTCCGCAGCAGGCGTGAGTCTCACAGGCGCACATCCCAGAGAAAGCATAAGCATCCATGAAGTAGTAACCACTTGTGTTGTATACGTGCCCGAAATACAGTTTAGTGTTACCTGAATTTTCAGCGTTTACTCATGCCTTTTTCTGAACTTCTTAAAAGCCCAGCATACATCACATGCATACATCGATTTCATCGCTGCGATTTCTGGTCGTCGCGATTCGCAGCGAAGAAATCGCGGGGACTAATCGCTAGTTGCTTACCCGTGGACATACTTCTGCGGCTATTCATGCATCCTCGATAGAGCACATAATATACCTTCTCAAACAAACTATTTATAAGTATTTGTATTACATTCGGCTTGATTTTCCATTTGTATTTTCATTTTGTAGTCCAGAATCAATTCCAACTGCAGGATCACATTAAAATTTGACTCTACTACAGTATCTGGGCCTCACTGTTTCAAGCGGATTTCGCTCGGACTCGGTTCAAAGGCGTTATTCGTTATCCAAAGGATTCCGAATATCAGAATCATTTTGTTATTTAACACGTCAAAAATCATACTCAGATCGTGTTTGAGACATGATCTGAGTGTAATTTGCGGAGCTGCGGAGAGTATATGATAGATGCCGAAGTCATAGACTTATCTAAATCTTTGCGCAATGAAGTTATTTGATGTATATTGATGTAAGATTATTGTTTGATGTACGAATATCGTGTTAGTTTTGCAATATTGAGTCTTTAACCTTAATCCCGGAACCTTCTCCCCCACAACAGATTTAGAGTAAATCCGCGATTTTATTCTACCATATACCCACGATAGCTCCAGAAAATGGCGTTGCCGCACAAAATAACCATGATATTCGGCACCAGCGGGCCGAATATCCCCCCCCCCCGGACCGAGTCTGAGCGAAATTCACGACTTTAAGATTTTGGGTCACGGATAGTGCCAAAAATGGATACAAGAGGACCAATTTAAGGATAAGCAAAGCACTCTGGCAAAATAGAACTATCTTTAAGGTAGTAAACAAGAAAACAGCCCAAAAGCTAAGAAACGATCATTTAACTTCCAGAAAAGAAGTCCAATCTAAGCGATTAGGTCGCGTCGCTCGTTTGAAGTCAGCTTCGCGATATCGCTGAAATTCGAGCAAATCGCGACGATTTTAAAGAAGGGAGTATGCCGATTAGTCGGCGATTAGTCGTTCAGCGATTAGTCGCGCTGGATAACTATCACAACCAAGTGGCAAAATGGTCAGCATGTCTTGCCGGGAAAATCGCGAGGCGATGAAATCGCGTAATGTATGCTCGGCGCTTTAGGCCTGGGGCAGAGTTCACGCGATTTCCTCGATTCGCGGTTCTCCAGCAAGACAAAAGTCACAAGACCATTGCACGTCGGTCGCCTTGCAAATCGGCTGTGATAGTTACCATACCCCTCACATTTATAGAAAAAGGAACGCAAGTTAAGGTAGACGCTACCATTTTCTGTAAAAAAAAAGACGCGAATCAAAGTAGACTTACCTCATCTCACGCAACCGTCGCGTAATTCATGCGACGGTTGCGTGAGTTATGTGACGGTCGTCCAGTTCATGTGACATCGCCATCGCGAGGCCATTCGCTTTAGAGTGGACATTCCAAATCCGAAGCCACCATTCGATTCGCCTCGGCGCGGACAATTTGATGTTATATTGGAAGTGGGGGTACGGTAGGTATATGGTAGAAAGTTAATTTGCACGGATACGCTTAAAGCTCTGCGTAGAGAGCTTAATCGATGTGCTCATAAATAGTATGTATTTATTGCAGCGGAGTATACTGTAGAGTTACAGCAAATTTACGGTTCGCACTTAGATATTTCCGAGAATTTGTTTAGGGGAACGATCAGATGCGCTGGTGATAAACTAACTCGTCCGACAACGGAGCCGAGTACGTAGGTGTATGGTAGTCTGCCAGTTTTAGAGAATTTTTTCAAATTTTTGCTTTTTGTTGGGTTGCACAGCTGATTACATGCACTGGCTGTTGGTGCATTTGCGATATTCCAGACAAACAACTTCCTTAATACATTACCGCTTGCGGAACTCCGCAGAATCGAAGGAATCACGCAAACTACGCAGCGCCATAACTTCCTTCGCAATGAATATATTACAAATCCGGAAGCAGCTTTGTGTTCATCTCATCAAAACGAATTTTTTTATGTGCCATTTTTTTCGAAATCTTCTGCGGAGGTGCTTTCGCAAAGATGTGACGCAGCGCCTATCTAAATAGAAGATTCCAGCATGGAACATTCGATAGTAATTCTTCTGTAAATAATGGAGCGCCCAAAAGTAGCCGCAGACTTCTTTCCAAGAGAGATAGAAACGTTGGTGAATTTTGAAAAAACCATGTCGTCTGAATTCTACTCTCAGAAACCCTGAAATATGAAGCTCTATTGCTAAGCAGATGTGATTTTCGTAAGCAGCAAATCAGATAACATCTATGAGCAAGTTTTTTGAAATGTTTGAGTTATTCTATTTTTTCTCGTTTTACGCTCTGAAACTCGCCGATTGATTTTCAAATGTTGATGGTATTGGATTGTAAGCAAACTTTGCTTGTATAGGTTTCGGACGCGCTGTTTACGAAAATTGTGGTTTGAGGAAGACAGGGTCTTTTTGCAGAGACATGGTGAGAAATGTATGTGAGTCAAGAAAGTTCTAACTTCGCCTACACTTCTCACATATCCATTAGAAGACTTGCCTGCTTCCTTTCATAGGTTAGATGCCTGCTTCCTTTCATAGGTTACAGCTACTAGGAATTTTGCCATCGAATGGTGCATATCTCGTTACGAGCATCAAAACACGTCCTCATAAATTTGCCCAAAGCGTAAATATCGCACACTTCGTCGAAAAGTTTGGTAGTTAGTTGATCTAAGCTCTAGCCACGAAATTTTGATATTCGATTGAGGAGCTGAAGTACACGCAACCACCATATTGAATATAGTAGATCCCTTGAGCGAACGCAACACTATATTGAATACAGTGGATCCCTTGAGCGATGTGAACGCAACATCTGCAATTCAAATATCAAACCATCACGATGGTTACCTCTTGGACAACGTGTATTTGTGGGCTCGTAACTCGGCGATTTTATAGGCCGAAGCCTGAGACTTGCACCATTCGACGGCACAGTTTCTATTTAACTCATAGAAGCAAGCAGGCAATTCTTCTGTTGGATACGCGAGAAATGCAGGCGAAGTTACGAACTTCTCACCATATCTCTGCAAAAAAACCCTATGTTCCTCAAACCTCACGATTTTCGTCTGAAAACCTCTATAAGCGAAATTTTTTTTTACAATCTAAGACCATCGACACTTTGACCAATTCTGCGAGCTTCAAAGCGCAAAATGAGATAAAATGTACCCGAGCACCTTCGAAAAATGCTAACAGAGGTTATCTGACCTCCTTATTACAAAAATCAGATTTGCTTAGCAAGAGAGCTTCATATTCTAGGGTTATGGTGAGCAAAATTTAACGACATGATTTTCTAGTCACCAGCCCTTCTATCTCCTTTGGAAAGAGGTCTGCGCCTACTTTTTCACGCTTCATTATCTACAGAAGAGATACTATCGAATATTCTTCGCTAGAACTTACTAGGGGCAATGCGCACTGTTTTACACCTTTCCGAAGAAACGCCCGCAAAAAAATTCAAAATTACTGAAATCGGAATATCGAGGACATGCTGTGTATCGAAAAATTCGCCTCGATAAGTTGAGCATAAAGCTTTTTACGGAATCGGAATTTATTCCGAGGGAAATTACAACGGTAGAACTTGGAAAGTCGTGATTTTCCCAGAATTGTCCAACGCTTCCATGTCTTTTGGAAAGAACTCTGCGACCGTTACATAACTCACGTTGGCCGTCAGACTTACGCGACCGTCGCGTGACTTACACAACGATCGCGTAAATCTACTTCGGTTTGCATTTTTTTCAGAAAAATGTGAGCGTTATTTAGTCAAGATTAATCGGGTCGGGAAAGTATCAGAACCGAGATGCAAGACCGGCATACAATAGACTCGTAGCCGTTGACTGTTGGGAGAATGGCGTCGCGATGAAATCGCGTAAACTCTGCCCGAGGCCTTAAGTGAATGCAGTCAGAACCAACTAGACAGTTTTACGTATATTTAAATTAATTTTCGTCTCTATCTCATGTACCCTAAAAACGAAGCACAATAACAAACTCTACAGGTTTTTCCCCCACTTACTAGCTCCGCTGAAAACGGGAACCGAAACACACCGCTCTTGAGGAGTTCTTGAGAAAATCAATCTGAATAGTATGAGAATGTACATTTCATACATCAGATTCATCTTTCAACATTACCTTTGCATAGCGGTGAAGTTTCCGAACAGATCAGATTTGCCCATGAGAACCGTGGTATTTCCCTCTGTCAGATACGTGAAGATGACAGTGACGTCTTTTGGTAGTCCGTTGCATTCTACGCCCTCAGTAGACTTTACTTCAATGGGTTTGAATTGCACATTTTTTCGAATCGGTACTTCCTTCTTGCATGTAGGCCAATCACTCAGTTTTCGGTCAAGTTCGTAGGTAACTTCGCTGGGAGTGTATGTAATTGATCCCGAATCGTAAAGAGTGCAATTGTTCTGCAACACTTTGCTTGTTGATTCAAAGCAAGCGGGCGGACGAACGAACACCTCAATCAAGCACCGCCTCCGCGGACTACTGGTCCCAGCACGATGAGACGAAAGGACCAGACGGCGGAGGATGGACAAAGGACCAGACAACAGTAAGACGAAAGAACCAGCAGCCCACAGAGGCTGTACCTAACTGAGGTGTTCGTTCCTTTATCCAAAGCAAGCTATTTCTATCATACTGCGCAGCGGTGGCGTACCCCGCTCCGTCGGGGGAGGGGGGGGGGGGGGAGAGATGTTGAAGTGGCGTTAGCCACCTTCGAAATCTTTCTGGAATGCCTTCCAAAGCTGCGGGCCCGCAACCCCGAACAATGTTAATTTGTATTTTTAAAAAAGTTTTGCAAATTATTTTGATTATTTATAAATATAAAAAAATCTTGCACATTTTTGTAACCCATAGTACTTCCAAAAATTTTGCGACCCAATTTTGGGGGAAGGAGCGGTCCCACTTGTTTTTTCCTCTCGGTAAGCCACTGCTGCTTAGATTTACCTTGGAATAATGGACGAATTTGCAGTGACCCTCGTCGTAGCAAACATTCAGGCAGAAGTCTTCAGTTTCTATAGATCTCTGGTAAAGCATGCTTCCATTGAACGCGCTAGTGATTTTAGTGAAAGTGACTTCACGATTGGCGTTCGCCTGCTAAATTTTATTATCACTCACACTTTTTCATTTGCGTTGTATTGAAAATTCATATGCACTATCACTATGTATATGACTATGTAGGTAATATGAGTATAGTGATAGGTACCTGCCTACATAGCAGGAATAGCACGAAAACGAGTAGTGCAAGAGATTCAATTGATCTGAAAAACTCTTTCTTAGGTATCAAAAAACATACAGCATCGTACATAGGGCTTAAATGTGAAAAAGCATATGCATGTTTTATTCTAACACACTAGTAGATTATCCTATCCTACAAAAGAAAGTATACCAACCTACGAACATTCTCCCAACCTAGAGCTCCTTGGTCGAGGTATGTTAAATATGACAGGTGTAAAGTCAACGAAGCGCAAATTTTGGGTTTCATTAAACGCTGCAACCGCCTGAGGGTTCATAATATAATGACAACGATAACGTCGTATGGAATATTTGCTGCTGCGTTTTATTCAACCTACTCGGCTTTGAAACCTGCTATTTCAATGGAAAGCTCATAATGCTTCAAGACCTTGCACGGGAGCATGTTTATTTACTGAGTACTTCAAGTATCGTAATGACAGTTACATCACCATTTCTAGTATGATGTTGAGCGACCTACCTGCAGAGAAGCATTGCACCGTGGTGATGAAGGTGACGGAGTCTAAGGTGGATAGCTTTTCGAGGCGTTCTGCTGACGTTCTTTAAGTTTCTATAGAAACTGCAGATGTGCTATTTCTTTGATAAGCTGTGACACATTCACTGAATCTACCGAAAAGTGTCTTCTTCATTCGCGAACAGATCTCGCGCGTGCCATTTAGCTTTGATGAATAGGTTCGACCATGGCGACCGTTTCGCTGGAATTTTTCAAAGGAGCCAAAAATAACGAAAACGAAATATTCTATAACGTGAATACAAAGAAGATTGTTCGTTATAATTTATACTAGATATTAATCATGTCTAGATAAGTGGAAGAATGATTTTTGTAACATTTTTTGTTGCAAATTTGAGAATATTCCACAAAATTTTATGTACAAAGCATTCGGTGGGTGCAAAGGCCATTGATATGACCTGATCTCAACGGTTGTGTCTATCGCCACCATTAATCTTTTTGGTCATTCCTGAAGTGCTGTCCTTTCGAGTAATAAACTAGAGATTTGACGATTTGGTAGCAGCGTATTGGCCATAATGTGCGCAACTCTATCCTAAATCAAACAGCGTCGTGGATGTGTTTGCTAATCTATTCAACACAAAAATCACTCGAATAATTTTTTTACAACCTGCTTATCCCTTCCCACCATTTCCTGATACACATAAAAAAATCAAAGTTTTTTTCTAGATTTTTCGTTGGATTTCACCCTCCTTTCTTTTGCGTCGTTGCCGTGAAAGGGATAAGTTCAATTATGCCCATATAAAGTTGGAAAAAACAGACAAGAAGACGGACTACCAGAGATGCAATTGCTTCTGGAAAAGCATTACATTAGGTTGTTACGTGAGTCATGCTCCAGAATAGTTTCTGCAAAAGTTATGTTTTCTTTGACTTCAGGTAGATTCCAATGGCCCATCTGATAGAGGAAAGCTGGATTTACAAGTAGATAAATTTACAAGTAGACTTATAATTATTTGCACCAACTTGGATCTATCGAAGTTTGAAGCAAAATGGAGAAAAATCGAATTTGGTTCAAGATGACGGATCTCTTATTCGTTCACACAAATACATCCCACATCGATTATAAGTGCAATTGCTGTTTTTTTATGGCGAGATACTGAGAAGACAATTTTCAGAAATTAGCTTTCTAGGATTAAGGTTACTTTCCGAGAGATATCAAATTTGGCATAGAAACGAAAAGTTAGATTGAAAGGAAAGTTTATGCGGAAGTCTAAAACTTAACGGTTGTATTTCTAAAGCTTGTGGTACATACCAGTGGGCATTTACAAAGGTCAGATTACACACTGTCACCTTCCATAATTCACCAATTATAGTTGGGACTTCTAATAAAAGAACAGAGACAAACTATAGAAAGTGCATCACTCAAATGTTACACGGTATGATGATATTTATTTATCATGATATACTTGTTCCCGCTGAACAAGCAATCAAATTGTAAAATAATAGTCTACTCCTACATGTGAAGACCGGAGTAGAGATGTAGTTTGTTTCGCTGTCATCCTGCAATAATGGTCGTTACTGAAATTTTGGATACATGATTCAGTGCTTAGTAACAGTTTGTTCAGGTGAATATCTGGTAGTACAAATTGAAAATGTAGAATCCATAAGTGTTTTTGGGGCTTATCGGAAGACAATAGCATTTGCTCATCCTTCGAAAAAGCAGAAAACGTTGGACAGCAATTCACGATTCACTTACTTGAGAGACTACGCTTCTTTTTGTCAGTTGCCGTTTTATTCTCCTCCTTCTGAGCCTTCTTGCCCTTCCGTAAGGAGATCTGCCTGCTGTTTCTGCTGGTCCCGGTTTTCCCGACCGTTTCATTCCTCCTCCTTCTGAGCCTTCTTGCTTTTCCATGAGGAAGTGTGCCTGCTGGTCCTGCTGGTCCTAAATTTCCTGAAGATCCTGGTAGTCCTGGCGGTCCTGCTGGCCCTGCTGGCCCTGCTGGTCCTGGTGGTCCTGGTGGCCCCGGAGGCCCTGGCTCTCCTTTCGGACCTGGCGGTCCAGGTGGTCCAGGTGGGCCAGGTGGTCCGGGTGGTCCAGCCGGTCCTTGTGGTCCGCGAAGACGGTCCTTAACGATTAGAGCATGGTCCTGTCCAGCTTCAAGGTTGTGAATACTAGTAAATCGAAATATATTTTTGAATCTGCTATCTGCGTACGATTATTTTTTATACAACAATGTAGGAGAGATTGGCTGTAATTTACCTACATGTAGAAGAGATTTGATTCATGGAGACATTATTTCTCTGCACTCAACTAGCGTGCGAGCTAAATGTTTTCTTAGCTGTAGCGTGGACATGTATTGTATCATGGTTATCATATTGCTATTGAATGATAGAATGATGTGCAACTTCCAAAAAATGGTAAGCCTTGTGTGCTAGAGCCTAACGCGTTTCAGACAAATGGTCTTGACCCCCCCCCCCCGGCACTACTGTTCCAAGCGTGTAGTTGCTCTGTGAAAAGTTTTCGAGAATATAGCGCTATAAAAATTTAAATTTTCCGAAAACTACAACAGCTATCACAGGTTCAAAAGGCGAGTAAAATTTGTATTACACGGAACGGATCTTTAGCAAATCTAACAATTTTGGCACAATTAACGACTGGAAAGGCAGTAACATACATCAAGATAAGCCATACCTCTGCTTCGCCTACTATGTTATCTACAACGTTCTCCAGGCCAGCTGAAAAAACACGATGTCTTCGTAAAATAAACTATGAAAGTTAGTCGCTACCAAGTGAAAGGCTGGCTTGAATGATCACCAGCAATAGAAAGACCTGAAAAGCGAGCTCGAGTAGCATTCCAATGTAGAACTCAGCTTTAAAATACGTACCATTTTGAAGGTTACAGCTTGCGCCATCGTTGAAGGGACCTAAGTCTGTTTTCCGGTAATTCTATTATTTTTTATAACATAGCACAGTCGATGTAAAATGCTGAGTCAACGCAGATGACTACAGATAATGAGCACTATTAGGTGAACAAATAAATGTCTAGGATACGTATGAGCTTCTGACTTTATGATCCAAAGTTTTTATGAAATCTCATATACAAAATCTTCTAAACATTATATAGTTTCAGCCGCCTTCTAAATAACCTGAATTTTAGTTTAGACCTCAAATCACAGCTTCTGCATACTCAAAACACTTTATTGAAAATGTAGTGTATGTGTAACATACTCGTCACTCCTTTTTAATCAGAGTTTCCTAACGAAAAATTTCTGATAGATGCCAAAACCGCGCACATTTGATCAAACAGTACCCCTCATGTAAGATTCTCAGCGTGTAATTCTCAATAGACGTCTGCTTCTTAGAAATACTAGCAAGTTGAGTACGCTCGGAAAGTCTGAAAGGAGCACCGAGCTCAAGTTTGTGGCTGACCACTAAGCTGCTGGCATCTCCTTCGAAGACGAGTACATGTTTCCTTCTCCGGAGTTTAAGGCCTTGTGCGTGTTTCCGTTCGAAGACTTCCTAAAGGGAATTATTAGGTTGAACACTAAGTTTTGCAACTTGTTTCATAACTTCACTCTCATTCAACATGGCGCACTGAAACTTTGGCATCATGTACAATGCAAAGTGAGCTACAAGCTAGCACAAATTGTCTGAATTTTGAACACGAAATAGAAAAGTTTCAGGCATTTTTCGAAAACTAGTGAATGTGAATTTTTGGGGTTTCAAGCTAAAATGAAGCCTTTGGCAGCCTAGACCATGCGCAGTAATCCGGATTCGTCTACAAATTATTGCTGGAGGTTGACTACTTTGGCCTAGTAAGAAAGAAACAAAATTCAGGGGCATGTCGAGATTTGGCGTCCTCACAAAGTCGAACGAGCAGATGTACGCAAGGGCTGCTGGAGACGACCGTCAATGACTAAAGAGTCCGAAGCTCAAATTCCTCCAAGACTTCACATATAAGGTTATTTAACCTGCCGAACGCGAATATCATATTCATTTGTTGAATCAACGCCATTTTCTTTGTTTAGGGTGAGACCCCATATCGTACACCTACAGTAATCTTACAAAAAAGTCCTTATCACGGAATTTCACTATCGTTTTCGTGATCAGCATGTCGGATAACACTCCTATGCCACGTTTCAGCCAAATCCGTCAAACTTTGAATTTTTTCCCTTTATACTATACAACTACCGTAACCCTCACTGCGACGTCAGAATTTGGTAGGACAGCAGCTGCGCTTGTAGCTTACGTAATAACCAACACAGTGGCAAAATTTGAGTGCACCATGTTGAGTGAGAGGGAAGTTATGAGACCAGTTGCAAAACTTAGTGTTCAACCTAATATTTGGCTCTGCAATGGGTGCATGTTCACTCTAAAGGTAAAAAAGTAACTTGCGTGGGTGGTAATTGAGAGAAGACTATTTTTCATTTCTCTAGACACGGTGTATATATCATAGACACTAACAAGCTCAGGTTTTATGAGAACGGGACGAAATTACCAAAAACGATTCTAAAAAAGCTAAGTTTTTGTTTCTTCAAGAAGCCAAAGGTGACTTTAAGTTTGTACTGCGCTCCTCCGCAAAATTTGTAAAATTTGAGCCACCATTGCTTGACACAATTACACATGAGCAAAGTCTTTTTTCCATTTTTAGAAAAAAAATCTGCGAAATTGTGCACTAATGTCTTCGCGCATGCTGATTTCGATATGCAACTTTTTGCGAGTGCTTCCATCTTCCTTGACGGTGTAATCACATTCGTGACAACTGTTGGAAAAATAGTTGTGGCGGTTCACCTGGGATAACGCAAAAAAGGATCATCACTGTTGATTGAAAATTTCATATTCAAAATCAGCGACTTCGACTAGCTCAGTGTAAGAGTTTTTGATCTGTATGGTTTTTTTCTGAGGCAAAATATGACTCTCAATTTGAAATTCTTGTCGAGGATCCCAGATTCCTACAGTAATGAGAGATCGATAATTCACCTTGTACTGTAAATGTGAGGTCCAAGCCTGCATTACAGAATAGTA